GGAACTTCAAATGGCTGTATCTCGGCTTCTAGATGAGCTAGGAACTTGGTTGAAAGAAATTTTGTCTATTTTGATATCATTTTAAAATGACTCACCTTGTCTATAATGCAGAGTAGTTGCCGCTGCTCCAATGTGTGTCAACTCTTGGCATCCAGCGTCCGCAGACTCTCCGATCCGTCCACTGCTTCCCGACTTGTCATGGATCTGAAAATCTTCAAATTCTTAACCACATCTTTATCTCAAGACTCACAAAACATCGATATTGCTCTCCGGCACTATACCCAACCCTTGCAGCAAAATAATGCAATCCAAATGATTGCCAAGATCCTATACATTCCATTTGCCAAATCGCTGACTCCCGATTTGGGATCTCTGGACACGCTTGGTAGTGAAGAGCAAGACGATCGTATTGAGCACATCGGTGAAGATGGGATGTTCGACTATTGCAGATTCCTTGATTGGTTTGGTAGGTGAAGTTCATTGGAGCTTCAATTGGGCAAGGTACAGGGATCGCTTCTTCTGAAATGATTTGGAAGTTTTTGAAAAGAAAAATTTGTCTTTTTCTGAATTCTAGAGTTTTGGGATTTTGGAGATTTTAAAGAGCTTTCAAGATTCGGATATTCAAAAGTTTCGAATTCTTTAAAGGTGGGGGGACAGGAGATTTTTCGTAGTTTTTTTGTAGCTAGAGTATGCATTCTACCGTCACGGTGTACAACGCTTAATTTCACTCTGTGTATTAGGTTGGCGGGAAAGTCTTTGTCACTCTGTTTGTTTAATCACTGTTCTCGTATATGGAGGCTGTGTATGATATCGACTCTAGTGAATAACAAGGTGATAAGAACCTTCCATATAAACAAGTCCCCATCTCCTTCCCTGCTCCTCATCTGTAATTGAAACGATATGTTTGTTCCCACTGCTATTCACATCAGACATGTTTTGATTTACCTCTTCCTATCTCACACCACGATGAAGGATTCGGAAACTTTCTTGAAGAATGTGTACAACACACATGCCCCTCACTACAATACTATTCGCAATTGGTTCCATCGTTTCGAAAAAGATGACTTCTCGCTCGATGAAAAGGATCGCTCTGGGAGACCCCGTGAGTTGGATTTGGACAAGCTGAAGCACGCATTGCAATCGGATCCATTTCAATCTAGCCGTGAACTAGCTGTCACATTCGGAGTTCACCATAGCACAGTCCTTGAAGGTTTGAAGTCTCTTGGAATGAGAAAACTTTTTGGTCGATTCATACCTCATCACCTGACTCAAGCCAACCTTGACCGCCGAGTCGACGATTCGATTACTCTTCTCACTCTCCACGCGGGCGATCGATGGCTGGACCGGCTAATAACCGGAGATGAGAAGTGGGTCTTCTACGATAATCACCACAGGAAATCCCAGTGGGTTGGAGAAGGAGAGAGCCCACAGGATGTCCCCAAACCCGACCTTCATCCGAAAAAAGTTATGCTCTCTGTGTGGTGGGGAGTGGACGGCCCCATCTACTGGGAACTTCTGCCCGAGGGCAAAACAATAACTGGAGACCTCTACACTACTCAACTACGAAACCTCAAGAAAGCAGTCGACCGTTCGGCCCTGAAAGACAAGAAAGTGTACTATCAACATGATAACGCTCGCCCACATGTTTCGAAACAAGTGAAGCAGGAGCTGATGGGATATGGATGGAATGTTCTCCCTCACCCCCCCCCCCCCGTATTCTCCTGATCTTGCTCCTTCCGACTATTGGTTATTTGGCGATATGACACGTGCCTTCGAAGGAAGAAGCTTCAATTCCCGTGGAGCGGTCGAAGCGGCACTCAAACAATACGTTGCCTCACGCCCGGCTGGATTCTACCGCAATGGAATCCATAAATTGAGGGAACGTTGGAGACATGTTGTTGATAATGATGGACAATATAATTAATTATTCGGTTATTTTTTCTTTGAGAAATAAACTATTGAAAAAGTGACAAAGACTTTCCCGCCAACCTAATACAACTGTCGTCCTCGCCTTTATGTATGCAATCGGGCGCGCGCTTTCTCTTTACCCGCGTGACTCAGTCGGTAGCGGCGCCGCACCCTCTTCTTCGCCCTCACAAGTTCAACTCCTCGAGGGGCATCTTTGAACGGAATTTCGAGAACATTTTTTTTTTTCATGTCCCCCCCCCTTTAAAGGAGGCGAGACAGCAAAAAATTCGGGGACAGTTCGGGGGACGAAATCGCGCCGCGCTTATGTAGACCATCGGTCGTCAGGCGCCTTCGCGCCCCCGTAGCTCAGCCGGTAGCGGCGCTGTACCCCTGAGCTGCCTGTCATGAGTTCAACCCCTCATGGGGGTTCGCTATGCAAAATATCAGGAAAACTTTTTTTTTGGTGTCTGGCCTCCTTTAAAACTAGGAGAACAACATCATCTTTCTTATTTGGCCTTGGAAATTCTTAAAAAATTTTTGAAGGCAAACTCGCTCCATTGACAAATTTTGTTTTTCTTACTCCTAAAAAGTGTGTGCATCGTTGTATCCGCACTCATCAAGTGCGAGCATTTATCCAGTTCCATTGCTTGATCGAACACACATTGAGCTGGAATTTCGGAACGTTTTGAGATTCAAAAAACTCGAAAACTCACTTGTTTTGTAATGCAGAACATTTTCATGCACTGGGAACGTAATGACACATCGGTAGCATGGTCCGCGGGATCTGAAAAACAGGGTAGTTTGAAGAAATTCGACACCCAATTCATTAGACTTACGTATCACTAGTCAACATAAACAAATCTCTGCTCCTCTGCACACAATTTCCCAAATTTCCAATCGAATTGTGTGTGATATTCAACTCATTCCCATTTTCCAGCCAAACTCCAGTCCATGGTAGTCGGCATCTTGTCCCTGAAAGACATTTCGGTTTCTTTCATCTTTTATCCATCTTTTTTTTTGTTTTCCGAATCTCATAAAAAACGAGCTGTCAGCTCTCGAGAGGACCCCCGGGAGAGGTTTCCAATTATTCTTTGTTGCCTTTGAGGGAGAGAAAGTGACCAAATGGGTTTCCTAGGCCATGAGGGGAAAGTTAGGCTACCGAAACAATTGTATGTACAACTTAATGTAAAACTGTTTGTCGCATTTTTTCTAGGCCAGGAGGAGAAAGTTCGGCCACTACAACTTAATGAGATCCTTCGAAAGTTCAAGTTCCCCATACTCCTCTAATTGAGCCACTTCCGCTTCTATACACATATTTGTACATGTCCGTCTTCTTTTCCTTCTTTTACAAACTTTTGCATATGTACATCTTCCCTACTAAATGTTCCAATGACATTGAATCCCTCTGGGAGTTTCCCTAGGCATCATCATCATCTTTGTTACCCTTTTGGGAAAGCATAATTTGACCTACATGGCTCTTATTGGAAATTGAGGGTGGCTTGGTGTCACGCGATCCGAAATGAACAAAAAAATGAATTGGAGTGGCTTTTGGGTGCTCGAATCCATAAGATAGAGGGATAAACAAGGAATTGTACTCGTAAATATTGGAATCGGTTTTTTGGTTTTATGGTCAGACAACAAATTTCGAGGTTCGGAGTCAACAAAAATTAGTCGATTCTAGATTCCATGATGTCAGGATTCTACGATTCCAGGATTCTAAGATCCCAAGATTTCGGGTTTTCAGGATTCCAGGATTCTAGCGTTCCAGGATACTAAGATTCCAGGATTCCAAGGTTTTAAGATTCCATGATCCCAGGATTCAAGAATTTTATGTTTCCAGGATTTTAGGATTCCAGGAGTCAAGAATTCCAGGATTCCAAAACTCCAGGATTCCAGGGTTTCAGGATTCTAGGATTCTAGTATTCTAGAGTTCTAGGATTCAAGAATTATATAATTCTAGTATTCTAGAATTCTAGGATTCCAGGATTCCAGAATTCCAGGATTTCAGGATTCCAGGATTCCAAGGTTTTAAGATTCCAGGGTTCCAAGGTTTTAAGATTCTAGGATTCAAAGGTTTCAAGATTCCAAGATTCCAGGATTCCAGGATTCCAGGAATAAATGGTTCCAAAAAACTCGGATCTAAGGATTCCAGAATTCTGGAATTTCAGGATTTCAGGGTTCCAGAATTCTTTTGTTTCCGACCCCAAGCAAACCATAAAATATCACTCCCGCCATACCAGAAGCCCCCAATTAATTTGTCCCTCGACAAAAAAAAAATTCTCCTTTCTCTTGCCCCTGTCATCTCACACCAATTCCATTCCAATCGCCGCCGTCTGCCCTAAATTGATGAGTCGTGGAGAAAACGAAAAGACCGCAAAAATTGGTGGCTAGGCGTTTCGAGCCGATTGTTCCTCTCACCCCCGTTTGAGCCGCCAAAAGAAGGCAATGGCTCCGAGAATCAAGGAATAGAGAGAAGAGAAATAGAGGGGATAATGCGATTTTTGAATGTCATGTTGGTTGGGTGAATTTATGTGTGTGGAGGGAGAGAGAGAACAAGTGAAAAAGGACATGTCCAAAACGATTAGGAGGTGTTCGGAAGACGGATATATCCGGGAATGGAAGCCAGGAGGCAGAAGGAGTTTTTCCATGGTTTTAAGAAAGGTTTGACATTTAGAGAATCGTGGATATTAGGGTTTCAAGATTCTGAAGTTCCAAAATTCCGGGATGATGTGGTCCGATTTTGTCTATACTCCTAGATCTTGGGATGACAAGGTTCTAAGACTCAAACCTTTGAAGATTCTGAATTTCCAAAGTTCAAAGACTAGAGAACTCAGAAATGCCAAAATGTTTAGATTCTGTTATTTTAAAGATAAATTGATATTTAGAGTTTCCTGGTTTCTAGGATTCTAGGTATCTAAGAGAACTAAAAATCCAGAGATGAAATTAAGTATTGAGAGGTTCCAGGATACAGTACCTTTAGATTGTCAGCTCTCTCTCTCTCTCTCTCTCTCTCTCTCTCTCTCTCTCTCTCTCTCTCTCTCTCTCTCTCTCTCAAAAATCCAAAATTTCGAATAGCCCATTCCGCTTTCCAACACAGTTCCTTCACTTCTAACATCTAAAATGTTTTATGCATATTTCATCCCTCAACCCCTTTCTCATAAATCTTACCCTTCTCACCCCTCCGCTAATCTGTCCCCTCTTGACATTTTTCTGTTCTTTTTCTCATTCTACAAAGACAAAAAGATCCTTATCGTATTCTGGAGGTATTTAGTAGATGGAATATGTCACTCGGATTAATCGCTCTTAATTTTGATCTATTATTTTGTAGTACTTGAGAGAGGGAGAGGGTACGAATTTTCATTTTATGGTGGCTCGGTAGCTAGTGAGAGAGAGAGGGAGAGAGAGAGAGAGAGGGAAGGAGAGAGAGAGAGAGAGAGAGAGAGAGAGAGAGAGAGAGAGAGAAAGAGAGAAAGAGAGAGAGAGAGAACTGATTGAGCTTATTATTGGTCTGGAGCCTAAAGAGACAGGATATCAGTTTGTTGTATCCAAATACTTTTCTAGAAGTACAAAACGGACTGAAAAATCTGAAATTCCGGAAATTTTTAACATTTTGAGACCCTGTATTTCCGATTTTCTAGGCTGTCACTTCAGCAATTTGACACCATTCTGAATATTCCCTGACACCTTGTAAAATGCCTTTTTAATACATGATGATGTACTGGAAAATGCAGTACACATGCATTTCCTTCTTTTCTGTTTCTCTCTCTCTCTCTCTCTCTCTCTCTCTCTCTCATCTACTAAATATATCTGCACACGCAATCAAATCAGTAGAAGAAGGTCCTCCCTTTTTAGGTCCCAGGGCCCTTTTTTCATTGCCCTGAAGGCATCTTTCTTTTTCACATGTACTAGAGATTTTTGAATGAGATATATAGAGCGTTTTCCTTTTTTTTTTGGATTTTCTCAGACTCCAAAAAAACGTACCTTTTGAGAGGACGAAAATGGCGGACAGAAGAATGAAGAGGCGATGGAAATGCATAGTGGCTCATGACATTTGAGAAAATGGGAAATCTGAATAAGTAGGCTTTTTCGGAAGTAAGAAAATACAGGATCTTGAAGTTCAAGATCTGGAAAATTTGAAATCCTTGAAGTCCGAATTCTCCGAAGTCTGAATTAAAAAAAAAGAAAACTATAGTAGTTCAAAAATCAATATATAAATTGACACCGAAAATGGAAGCGGTGGGCGGTTATCAAATTGTTGTTATCAGTGAAGTGAAATCAAGAATAACTGAAGAAGGAAAAGAAGAATAGAGAAATTGAGAAGAAGAGAAAATGAAACCGAGAGAGGGATATTTCAAAATAGGAGAATAGGAAAAGGGCGGAAAAGGTACTAATTAGAGAGGTTTCGAAAAAGGTAGTGGAGGAAAAATAATTGGGTAGTTGGCAAAATTTTGAAATGTGAAAGTGCGCTCAAATGAACAGAATTAATTGGGTGGGTTAGTGTTTCGATTCAGAAGTCCAGAAATTTGGATTTTAGGATATTCAAGTTATGAAATTCAGAAACCTCAGAATCTCAGAATCTTAGAATCTCAGAATCTCAGAATCTCAGAATCTCAGAATCTCAGACTCTAAAATTCTTTATTTTTACCAAAATTGAACAAGAAGCTAGAAGTTCAAAGAAACGTAAAACCTGTAATAGAAGGGCCCCTAACTTTTAACTTTAAACCAATTTATCTAGATGCCTGTTTTTTACATATTTCGAAGGCACCGAGACAATTGAGCTCAAACTTGACAGTGTGGGGGCTCTTCTATTACAGGTTTTACGGTATTCGTTCCAATTTCTTTTCGATTTCAATAGATCTCCAGTTCTATCCACTAGAAACAAAAAAAAAACTTATTCGAGGAGGATTTCCAAAAGAAGACAAAAAAATGGGGAGAAGAAAGAAGAAAGGCACTTGAGAGCTCTCCTCTTCCGAGAGGCTGCTCCTAATTAGATACGATGGCTCCCAATATTTTAAGAAAATTCCAAAAAGAAAAGAAAGGAAAAGAAAGACCAATGCAAGAACAACAAATTTGGTGGGAAATAAAAGCGAAAGAGAAAAGAAAAAGTTAGCGAGAAAGGATTTTAATGAGGGCGTGGCATGAAAATTTTTCGAAAGTTTTCCCAAAGAAGATTTTAGACCCTTTCTTTTTTCCGCTCTTTGCAGAAGGATGCAGACAAAACGGAAGACGATGTGACGTGGAAAAGGATAGGGACTTTTCAAGTTTTTTATTCTGAAGTGTCGCTGTTTTCTGGTGGGGTGTTCGAGTGGGAGAACAACAGGATGGAGAAATGACGTTAGAGGAAAGAAAATGTTAGAGAGCAATAAACAAGAAGAAGTTGAGAACATGGTTTTCAGAATAACGGGAAGTTTGCAAAAGTCGAAGAAACCACCGTTAAGATGTACAGTACCAAAAAAAATATATCGTAAAACCTAATTCCAAGAGGACCTTTCTATACCGGTTTTACCGTATTTTTCATAGTTGAAGCTTTAATTTTGTTTAGTAAAATCTGCAATTTTCAGAGAAATTGAGAAATTTGGAACTACTTTTTGAGAAATTAAGAATTCACCACTTTTCAATGAGAAAGTCCAAAAAGTGATATCTCTTTGTCCGATACTTGATTTCAAATTTTTCGAAAATTCTAGAATTCCAAAAGTCTGTTCGACTTAGAACTTCGGATGTTGTAAATTTGTGATATTTGCGATTTGAAAAATTTAAATAATATTTAGAATCAGACTTTTACTAAAATTGCTTAATTCTGGAAACTTCTAGAAGAACCTGAAAATTTTAGGACTTTCTAATGGTAAGTTGAAACTTCCAAATTCTGGTTTTCTTGAACTTTGAGTTTTGACTGGAATTCAAAAAAAAATTGGCTAACAATTAAAATTATAATATTAATTCTAAAAAAATGACGTTGAAAGTTTTTAACAAATGAAATGGGGAGAATTTCTACAATTTTTGAAAAAGGGAAAATCTGAAAAACAGGATTAAAAATTTTTCAAAATAGGAAACCCCTGCTTTCCCAAGAATTCAAGTTCTATTCCAAATCTATACTAAAACCTAATAGTAAGAACCTTCCTTTCTAGAAAAAGAATATTACTACTCTTATACCCATCCTCTTCTTCCCCTTTCCTTCCCACTATGAAAAAACAAAAAACAAAGAGAGAAAGGCTCTTTCTTTTTCTTTTTTTTAACATTATCTATCTCCAGTCATCCTTTTTCAGCTTCCAGAAGCTCCTAGAGTATCCCTCTGTACCATTCCTCAATAAAAGTCACACGTTTTTCAAATGTTCCTTTTAGAAGAGGAAAAAGAAAAATAAGAAGAAAAAAGGGAAGAAAAGTGCTAGGCGGCAATTTCTAGTAAACGGGAAAAGAAGAAGAAGAAGAGCAGAAAAAGAGCAGAAAGATGGCTCTCTCTCTGGTTTTGGGGAGCGTCCGTTTTTGGGAGAGGAAAGAGAAAAAGGATGGATGGGACTCCTTTTCTCTTTTACTCCCAAATGGGCGGAGCTTAATATCCGGGAATATCGCAAGATGGGGGACCGGAGATGGGTATGAGATACTGGGAACTGGGAGAAAAACCAAGAAGAAGATTAATGGATATACAGATAGGAAGAGATTGAGGAATTTCTTATATATGTACATAGGATTCTGAAATCCGGATACATAGATTCTAAGGTTCCAAGGATTTCAAATTCTCAGGTTCACGATCTGAAATAGAATAGTTAAAACAATTGTAGATCCTATGAATCAGAAATTCTGAAAATTCATCTGGCGATTCAGAGGTTTTAAAGTTTTCCGGCTTTCAGATTCGTTCAGATTCTGAGAGTTTGTGTTTTCAGATTCTGAGGTTCTGAGATTCTGAGGTTCTGAGATTCTGAGATTCTAAGATTCTGAGATTCTGAGATTCTGAGATTCTGAGATTCTGAGATTCTGAGATTCTGAGATTTTGAGATTCTGAGATCAGGAATTCTAAAATACAGAAAATTCTGTGAATCTGGAGTTTTGAAATTCCAAGATGTTGAGTTTCTGAGATACTCCGATTTGGAAAAAATGGAATTACTTTCCGCGTCTTTAAAACTTCCAATGTTTTTCTACAGAGGCAATTCTAGAAGAATCTACTCTGGAAGGAAATACTGAAAAACTCCAAGCTCAAAAGTTTTATTCTTTTTATTCTTGCCAAAAAAAATGCCGAAAGTCAAAAACCTCTTTTCTTCTCACCTCGCCCTCACTTTTTTATTTCATATGTTTGCATTTGTGATTTGATATGTGCATAATTCAACACAAGTGGTCTTTTTCCACCCGATTGAAATAGGTCTTGAGAATATAAGTCACCCAATTTTATAGAAAAAAGGAAGACGAGGAGCGTTTTTATGGGTCAGGGTAATATGAAAAAGAGTCGTGGAGCACACAAATGGAGATCATAAAATGGGCCAGAGAGTATCAGAAAAATGCCTATACAAAAGCTTTTAAAGGTGGGGGGACAGGAGATTTTACGGGGGATTTTTGGGGCCAGAGTATGCATTCTACCGTGACGGTGTACAACGCTTAACGCCACTCTGTTCATGTTCCCCCACCTTTAAGGTTTATATCATGAGGTTCCTTTTTTTTAGTTGGGTTATGGAATAAAAATTGGTTCTGACTGGATGATTTAATGTAGAGCAATTTAGTGGGGTTGAAAGAACGCGCAAATTTAGTAGTCCTCAAAAACAATTCGGTAGTTCAAAATTTAATTTTAAAAATTGAAAATTTCAAATAACCTAGAAGTTCCGATGCATATACCCTAAATCATCTAATAAAAGCCAACCCCATATTTGAACTCTCAAATTCCAAAAATCTACCGTAATCCGAAATTCGAAAAAAAGAATACAGTAAGCTATAGCTTACTGTAGGTTATAACCCTGAAGTTTTTTTATTCACGTTACGCAATAAACCATTTAATCAATCAATATTATGTCGCGCCCCCATCCTTCTCTCCACGTTTGAAAAATGCCACGTATTGAAAAAAGATCAGTTCTCTGTGAAATTCTCCTTTTTGAACTTCATTGTTGAATAATTTTCACAAGCCTTCTCTCTGGCAAGGAAGCTCTATGCATACCCTAATTTTGGTTGTTTCATTTCATTTGATCTCTTGATTCAATTGCGAGAGAAGTACTAAAAGGCCCCAAGGGTCGCCATGTTTTGGGGTTCATGGCCACTGAACGTCCCCCTTTCAAAAATGTTTCAATCAAAGATCGAAAAATTGAAACAAAAATTAGAAAAAACTGTAAAGCGTATGCATGACTTCTTACAAGGGAAAAGGAATTTTGGAAATTATCCAACAATGGTTCTCGGAGACCAGGGCGGGGGACCCTTTCATGTACTGAGCCTCGTTTCAGGTTTCCTACTACACAGTTTTTTTTCAAATTCCCAGAATCTTCCAGAAAAAATTACCTATTTCCCCCTTTCCATCTTATAATTTCCAGACATCTAATTACCCCTGATTATCTCAAATAAATGTTGCCATTCCGTCTGAACATCATGATGGCTGTCTGTACATATTTATTGTAAAAATGTTCGTTTGAAAAAAAAAAAAGTCTGAAGATAAGGAAGTCAATAAAAAAGTACAGGTGTAAAGTGACTTCGAAAAAAGGGAAAAAGAAAAGAACACGATTTTTTGCATTCGACAAAAAAAGTTGGGTGGGAAAAACGGAACGGAGTGATTTATAGAGGAAATGTGTGAGGAAAAATTGGAGGAATCATTTGAAATGGAGAAAAAAGAATTTTGGAAAATCTGAGTATCTGAAATATACTGAAGGAAAGCTCTAATAGAAGTCCACACTTTAAATGTATTTTGATCTCAATTATCTCGGTTCCTATGAGAGCTATCAAAAATATGTCAATTAATAAAATTTAGCTGATATTATGATAAATATTTAATCAGTTGACAAATTATTGATATATCTCACAGGAATCGAGATAATTGAGCTCAGAGGTGACTGCTTGGGTGGGCTTCTGAAA